CTGCATCCAGGAAGAGCTCCGAATTCTTCAAAGTTGGATGCCTGGATATCAGTCTAGGTGGGATTTCGACTTTACAGAAGTTTTAACGTCAACAGCATAACCGTTCTAGCTAAAAGTTAAGACTTCAAAAAGGATGACTTACAAGGATAATTTCCCGCAGATGTTTAAGTCAAAATAAAACCAGAGGGAATGCTTCTCATGTCCTCTCTATTTAATCGATGTGTGATTTTAAGGTGTGGGGTCACAGGCTCATCAGGAGGTATCTTATGACAATTTCAGCTTTGGTTTAGATTTTTAAATAGGACTATTTCTCTGCCTCTACGGTGGCGTGGAACTGATGGCTTTGATAAGTACCGCTTCACGGCTCCGAAATTATGTCAGACCCAATTCCTGTTTTCAAAAATAAAATGCAGGGTCCCTGTTCCACTGCCAGACTTCACACAAAGCAGCCCCCTCCTTTCACTGCCCTCCTCACACAAAGCAAGCTTTTACCCCCGCTACCTAAAGGGGAGTGTCGTCCACCCGGCCTACCCACAAACATGCCCATCTCACTCCAGTCCAAAACACTGGCTGCTACTCTGTATGTCCCGGTACTTCGTGTTACCTCCTGTAGCAGACCCCTCCCCATAGCCAAAACGTCCAGAACACCGTCCAAAAGCCGGTCTTTCACACAAAGCAAGATCCCTTCCTATGAAGCAGCCTGCTACCTCTGAGTGCAGGCCCACGGGGGCTGTGCCAAGCCACAGAGCCCATCTGGGTCCAGTTGGGTCCAGCGCCTGGAGGTTCCACGACCCAGAGGCGAACTAGCTTACAGACCCGTTTCCAAGGCACGCCTCGAACCCCCAATTCCGGCCCACCAGCCCGCAGCAGAAGCAGGCAAAGCCAGCGTCCCCGCCACAGCCGAGCCCACCCTCCTTCCCCGGGGGGGAGCCTCCCCGGCCCGGCGCCCCGCGCTCACCAGCTCTCCTCTTCCTCCTCCCAGCCTGACAGGCGCTCCAGCTCGTCGGGCCGCAGCGGCTCCACCTCGTCCAGCAAGCCGCCCTCGCCTGCCGCCAGCAAGGAGGCGGCGTCCCGCAGGTCCTCGCTGCTGGTCCGCCGCGGGCCCGAGTTCGGCCCGCCGCCCGCCTTGGCGCCCAGGCCCAGCGGGAAGCCCCGAGGGGACGCCGCGCCCGAGCAGGGGGTGGACACGCCGACCCGAACAGGGCTGCCCGGCCCGAGGAGGCCTGCGCCCTGCACGGCTCCCGAGCGGCTCCTGAGCTGCTCGTTCTGCTTCTCCAGCTTCTTCACCAGCTCCTGCAGCTTCCGCACCTCCTGGTCCGCGTTCACATTGGAGTTAACGTCCTCCATGCCGGCCGCGCCGCCCGCTCCGACTCCCAAGCCGCAGGGGAAGCGTGGGGGAAAGAGAGGCGTTATCGCCGCCGCTCACGCTAGCCGAGGCGCCGGCATAGAGCAGGGCCAGGCCCCACCGCCAGGGTCCCCCCGGCTCGGGTTGCGAAGCGCCGCTGGCCCCAGCCGAGCCGCCTCATCTGCGCCGGCTCCGCGACTGGTGGAGGCGGCGCCAATATCCGGCCTCGGCCGCCATCTTCCCTCCGTCCCTCCGCCCCCTGCCGGCCAGCCCGGTCGGTGACCTCAGAGCGTCGGGGGAGGACGTGGCCGCCCGCGGGCTGAAAGGACCCGGCGCCCGGCTCGCGGCGGGGCGGGGCTGGGGCGGAGCCTGTGAGAGGGACGGGCCTGGGTGGGCGGGGTCAGAGTTGGGGGCGGAGTCTCAGCCGGAAGGGGTGTGGTGGGCGCCGGCGAAGGGTGGGCGGGGCCGAGCTAGCTTTGGAGTCCTGCCCTGGCTGGCTGCCCTACCCCAGGCTGTTCGCGGGCGGCGCGGAGACAGAGAACCCGGCTCGGGCTCGGACTGCGGATCGGTTTCAGCCCCGCCCTGGGCGTCTGTGGCGAGGGGTGGGTGCTGAGACTCGCGCCCCGGCGGCCCCGCCTCGTCGCATGGACAGTTCGCTGGGTCTATTTGGCAATACTGAGTCAGTCCCTACTTGAAACCGGAGACTGTGGGAGCTGGCAGCAGCCCGGAGACCATCTGTCTGTGGCCTTCCCCCTAAAAATGAGAACCCGTATTCCAAATGGTTGAGCGCTCGAAGGTCAAAATAATAACCGTAATTTGTTGAGTGCTTACTCTACGGGCCAGACACTACGCTAAGCACTTTTAAAGGCATTATCTCATTGGTTAAAACACGTGGTGTGTGTGTGTGGGGGGGAGTTTTCTTGTTTTGTTTTGTTGGTTGATGTAAGGTTTACAGCTCAAGAGAAGCGGGCGATGGAAACTATGCTCATCTTTCAACGGTAATTAATGCGCATTGTATTTCTTGATTCCTCCCTCCCCAAAAGACTTTTTAATAATATGTCTTGACTTTTTGGGTTTTCTAGGCAAGGTTTCTTTCTGTAGCCCGGGCTGTTCTGGAACTCGCTCTGTAGACTATGCTGGCTCGAAAACTCAGAGATCCGCTAGCCTCTGCCTCTCCAATGCTGGTATTAAAGGCGTGCGCCCCTGGGGGTTTTTGTTTGTTTGTTTTGTGTTTAAGCTGTACATGAAAAGTATTTAAGCAACCGGTATTAGCTAATAGAGAGCGCTGGGAGGGGGTAGTAAATGTGAAATTCTGCCCTCAGTCGCACCTATTTATAATGCGGACTGGTGGCAACTGCAAACAAAATTTAAATGCTTTGTTTCTCACTGTTCCACAGTTGTCAATTGTGAGCTACTTGGCTTACCTATATAGTAAGTAGCTAAACGCGCCTGATCCCTCAACTACTTGGCTGGTGTTTGCGATTGGCTCCAATTGCCTCCTCCACCCTAAGCTAACACGGAACCAGTCTTATTACACCCGGGTGTGGACTCATATGACGACTTAAACCCTTCTGCCTTTCTGTACTGTACTTTCCTTACCTAGAATATTCTACCCACCACATCTGAGTCCTTTTCGTAAAAACCTATGCTCACTTCCAACCCTGGCAGGAGTTACTCTCTTTGCTCTGACATTGCCTCCTCAACAGCTGGCTACAGATACTGTTATTTTTTTAATTACATATTTCTAGCAAGTCTTTGCTTTGATCTGTATAGAAGAAATCATACTATTTTCCTTGCCCTGTGGCCGACAAAGTCCTCATTCAATGCCTGTTTTGCTAAAATTAAATGGAAGATAAGTTTTGACAGGTCAAGTCCCAGGCAGACAGCAAAATTAAATACTTGGAGTTTTAAAGTTTGCTGTCAAGTATAAGTATTTTCCTAACTATGCAGACCTACTTAAAAGGATGCTTTTGCTTGCTAGCAAAACTTTGGTGAAAACAAAATGTATTATCTGTGTGATGCACATTAAATGTTTCAGTTGTCCCTGACATATCTGAACTCATTGCTGGAGGGTTCGACATCAAGACCACCCATATTATAGTCATTTGCATTTACAGTTTGTGACATGGAGTCCAAGGAGGCAGTTTCTAGTGAACTCTTTATTTCTTGAAAACTTCAGTTAACATTATGAAGTCAATGTCACTGTTCTTGAGAGAAGGAGGGCCTGATGTAATGCAGAATAATTATGTGTGGATCAGGAGGTCTGCTGGCAGCTTCTCCTCACACCATGAATGTGGCCCTTGAACTTTATTTCTTTCCCTTTAATGTGGGCCTTGTCTTTTGTCAGAATGTGTGAGTTGGGTGATTTCTAATATTGAATCTGTTACCAAGAAGTGAAGAATTCTGGTGAATCATCGTTATTATAAAATATGAGAAGATATACTTAGATTTTTAAATCCAGTTGCCTTACTACAACTTGGTTTTTAATTCAGTAAATATTAAGCATGTAATATATGGCAATTACTGTTCTGGGCATTTGATGGTCAATAGGCTTTGCTTGTTTGTTTGCTTGTTGGTTTGCTTATTTGTTTGTCTGTTTGTTTGTTTGAGATAGCATTTCATGTGGCTCCAGCTAGCTCTGAACTCACTAGGAATCTGGGATGACCTCGAACCCCTGATCCTTCTGACTCTACCTATAATAAACTTTGTATGCAAAAACTGAAGTTAGTGGGCATGGTGATATATGCCTTAATACCAGCACCAAGGAGGCAGAAACAGGAGTATCTCTGAGTTTGAGGCCAGTCTGGTCTATATAGCAAGTGCCAAGACAGCCAAGACTATAGAGAGAAACCTTGTCTCAAAACAACAAAACTGAAGTTACAGTTCAAACAAATATATACCACCATCACACAGACGCATGCACTCATGCACACACAGAGTCAAATCTGTTTGTCCTATGCTACACTGTGATAGCAAAAAGATAGCGCTTTTTTTACATTAAGGATAAAAACAGTGTAGTAATCCCTACTGGTCATGTTTTTGTCATCCACCAAATCCATTTCTTAAGCAGGTCATAGTGCCTTGCATTCAGAATAGGTTTACATACCTCCCAGCAGCTGAACCATTAGGACTCTAGTTTAAATTGCCCTTGATTCCCCTCTGGTTCCCTCCCTCCTCTCTTGATGGGCACATCCCCTTTGCTACTGATAGCCTAGTGGATACACAGTAGCCAGAAGGTCAAGTTAATCAGAAGCCTTTGGCTGACTTGGCTTTGGATACTTGAAACTTAATGCAAGTAGCTCTTAGACTACCACCCTTCCATCCCCCCTTCTGCTCTACCCACGCTAATCTTCTAGATGGTCTTCAAATAAACTCAAACACATTCCTACTGCCAGGACTTTGTACCTGCTGCAGTACATCTAGCTAGTATCTTTGGATCATCCAGGAGGTCACATGACTGACTCATATGACTTAGGCCTCTGCTCAAACGTCATCTAGGCTTACTATCTTCTTAATTGCTACCTCACAAAATAGTGTCCTTGTCATTGATCTTCTTGGGTGTTTTTTTCTGTTTTTGCTCAGATACATTTTTGCTATTGTTTATTGTATGTCTTTCCCTAGTAGAATGTGAACTGCAGAAACTCCTCACTGCACCTTTAGTCCATAAAACAGGGTGTGATACAAAGTAAGTGACCAATAAATATTTGTCAAATGAATACATTTAGGTCAAGTGAAGCCTCCTAAAATAGAATTTCAGGTGGATATGTTGGTTGTGTCTTGAAACATCAAACTAGAAATCCGTAATCCTTTTGAACGGTTGGCTTTTAATCTACATTTTTCCTCTTCCAAAAGAGCAGCGTGCCATACCACATATATCATCTTTCAAACTAGGTCACACTCCCCCTCCTGAGAGCCAGCAGCCCTGCAGAATTGCTGAGGGTAGCCTCGGGTTCTCCCTCAGCAGTGTGGAGATAAGACGATTTTCTTTCTGTCTGAAACATTGAGACAACCTTCCTCTTTTCAGCTTTCAACACTCCTCTGTGGTGACCCAGAAGTCTTGGTGCAAGTATAAGGTCACTTTTCAAAAGCAGGACAGGGTCTTATGTCCCCAAGACTAGCCTCAAGTTTACAATGTGGCTCCAAGTCCTCCACCCTCCACCTCCTGAGTGTGGAGATATAGGTGTTCAATACATACCCAATACATACCATGCCCAGTTTTCCGTGGTGCCAGGGATGGAACCCAGAGCGTCACACGCCTGCTACGTAAGCAAGTGCTCTGCCAATGTAGCCACATCCACAGCCAAAAAGCCCATGTTCAGGTGACTCTTGGTAGACAGGAGTAGTAGAACTAGTAGGTTTCTGACATATGAAACACAGCATTCCCAACTGGCTTTTCAGGTGCCACCTCCCATGATAAGCTGGCTTCGCTTTGGGATGGAGGAGCTGCTGTTTTCTAAGCAGGTGTGGACCTTTCCCTGACTTGCTCCTACTTGCACACTGGCTCCACTGAGAGCCCTGACAAAGTGGAAATCATTACAAACCTCTACAAATATGTAGTGTAAAAACCATGACTCAATGGCTTAAAGGCATTCAGCCACCCTAAATACGTTTGGAGCAGAGGGTACATACACAAAAGTGGTTCAGAAACTGCCCTGCACTTACAGAAATATCTGTGCTTGTTTTAAAAACTGTTCAGGGAGGCAGAGGCGGGTAGATCTCTGAGTTCAGGGCCAGCCAGGATGGCATTAATAATCCTGTCTCAAAAAACAAAACAAGATCCTCTCAAGTTCTTTGGCATAGCCTGCACTACACAGGGCTTCCACTTTATCTGCATTGTACACCCACAGTCAGTCATTTCCTCCTGTCCTCTAGCATCTGTCCCTCACCAGTGCCCTTCCTCCAGATGTCCCTCCCCTCGGTCTACCAGAGGCCTCATTGGTGAAATATGTTAAAAAAGAATCCCAGGAACATCTATCTATCTATCTATCTATCTATCTATCTATCTATCTATCTATCTATTTAGGTGTTTTGAGGCAGGGTCTCACTGTGTGGCCCTAACTAACTAGCCTGGAACTGTTTCTGTACACCAAACTGGCCTTGAACACACAGAGATCCACCCGCCTCTGCCTCCGGAGTGCAAAGGTTAAAGGCATACACCACCAAGCCTAGCCCCCAGGAGCTTTTTAGAGTCTCCCTGTCCAGACCTGGCAGGCCTGGAATTCACTGTGTAGATCAGACTTTGAGCTCAAAGAAATGTTCTTTCTTTT